TTAAAACCCAAACATATCTTTTCACATTTTCAACGTCTACTGTTCCATCATCAATTAAAGCTGGATACTATAACATCGGCGTGGAGGTTTATGTACCAAATCCACATCGATGTTTCAAGTGTCAACACTTCGGTCATGGGGCCAAATCTTGCACGGCCAAGACGAGGTGCTCCCGTTGCAGTGGTCCCTATGAGGGCACAGAATGCACAAATGAGATCAAATGTGCTGACTGCAGCGGTGAGCACTTGTCTTCGTCAAAATCATGCCCGATTTTCGATCGTGAATCAAAAATATTTAAAACAAAACATACAAATAACATTACCTACTCTGACGCCAAAAAAACTCTTTGTACCCTCTCAGACCCCTTCAAATAAATCCTATTCAGCTGCAGTCTCTTCTCCGAGTCCAGGTTAACAAATCACCATGACATCCACTCACTGTCAGACTGATATCTCGTGGATCAACAATGACCAGATCATCATTGATGAAGCACCTAAATTATCTCTGTACAAGCCATCAACAAAGCCGTCTTCATCTCAAACAGAAAACCAGCAACCTTCACATAGTCAACTAACTGAACCAGAATTTATACAGGAAACCGAATCAGTTCAGGGCGAAGCCCATCTATCCAAAAAACAAACAAAAAAGCAACTGAGGAGAAAGGCCAGAGCACTCCAGCACTTGGATGAGCCTTCTCCTGCTGCGTGCCCTGTAGCGGTTCATAATCCATTTGAACCATTGGACATGGAGGTCACTCCTTCCCTCCCAGTACTAAGGGGATGTCCCTTCCACTCGTTCACGTGTCCCAGTTGAACCTCCATTAGTGGAGCTACTAATTTAATACAATGGAATTGCAGAGGACTTAGGAACAATTTCAATGATCTACAGTTATTATCACAGGATTTTAAACCATCAGCTTTTAGCTTACAAGAAACATACCTGAAAAATACAGATATATTTGATTTTCGTCAGTACAATTCGTATCATTCGTTTTCACCTCAAGGTGACAAAGCCACAGGTGGAGCTTCCATTTTGGTGAGGTAGGATGTCATCCATAGCCCCGTCCCTCTAAAATGCAACCTTCAAGCTGTTGCTGTCCGTATGTCTTTACATATAACCTTCACACTTTGCTCTTTATACATTTCACAATCGTCTCCTCTTCAGCAGTCTGATCTTCAGGATTTGTTTGATCAGCTTCTAAGACCCTGTGTCATAATGGGGGACCTTAATGGGCATAACCCTCTGTGGGGAAGTACAGATACCAACAACAAAGGGAAAATCCTGGAAGACTTCATTTCAAATAACAATTTATGCATATTTAATGATGGATCAGACACATATTTACATCCCATTACTGGAACTTATTCTGCTCTTGATTTGTCACACAGATCCAAATGTATATAACGAATTTCAATGGTCAGTCCACAACGATCTATGTGGAAGCGACCATTTCCCCACAATACTTTCTGCTATTAACCCGAATGATGAACCACCTGTGACAAGGTGGAATTTTAAAAGGGCCAACTGGCCATTATTTCAGACACTTTGTACTGACAAATTGACATCTGACATTTTCATTAATGTCCCTGATCCTATTCAGTTGATCACGGACACACTGAATAATATTGCTGATGTAACTATTCCTAAGCCCTTTGTTAAACCACACATTCGTAAACCATGGTTTACAGATGATTGCAAACAGGCTAGGAAGAGTAGGAGGAAGGCTGAAAAATACTTTCGCGGTCATCCTACAGTTCACAATTTAAATAATGTAAAGATAAATGGTGCCAAGGCTCGCCATACTTTTAAAAAATATCGGCGACAGTCTTGGAAAAACTTTGTATCAAAGATTAATTCCCGTACGCCAATGACAAAGGTATGGAACATGGCACAAAGAATCAAAGGGAAGGGTTCAAATTCTGGCGTTCATCATCTTAAAGATGATCATGGTTTACTAACTGACAAAGTAGACATCGCAAATAAGTGGGGTGAAACTTTAGCCAAACACTCTTCATCATCCAATTATAATCCCAAATTTCAGAAATATAAAAATCAACAAGAAAAGAAAACTATTAATTTTAATTCAGATAATGGTGAAGACTACAATGAAGTATTTTCAATACATGAGCTCAATACTGCCCTAGCGCAAGCCCATGATATCGCAACAGGGGCTGATAATATACACTATCAGCTCCTTAAACATTTACCCAATGCATGTCTCGAAACACTTCTAAATATTTTTGATAATATTTGGACAACTGGACACTTTCCTCCTTCCTGGCACAATGCCATTGTTATCCCTATACCAAAACCTGGCCGGGATCATACCGATCCATCTTATTATCGACCGTTTCGTTAACTAGCTGCGTTTGTAAAACCATGGAACGCATGGTCAATAACCGATTAGTATGGTTTTTAGAAACCAATAATCTTATTACCAATATTCAATGTGGTTTCCGCAAGAATCGCAATACTATTGACTATCTGCTTCGTTTAGAATCATTCATTAAAAATTCTATTGTAAATAACCAGCATGCTGTATCAATCTTTTTTCATCTTGAAAAAGCTGATGATACAACATGGAAACATGGTATTTTAAAAGATTTTCACGACTTTGGGTTAAGAGGCCGTTTGCCTCATTTTATATCGCAGTTTTTAACGGACAGACAATTTCAAGTTCGTGTTGGATCAACACTGTCTAGATCTTATCATTATAATCAGGATCAGGGAGTTCCACAGGGCAGTATTTTGTCTGTCACATTGTCAAATGTCTCAATTGATGGGTCATTGTTTGTGGATGATTTTAATATCTCATGTCGTGGTAAAAATATGCGTACTATGGAACGCCAATTACAGTTGTGTCTTAATATAATTCACAAATGGTGTCTTGAAAATGGCTTGTATCCATTTTTGTCGGAAATATAAACCCCATAAAGATCCTGAACTCTTTTTAAATGGCACTCCAATCAAGATTGTAAAAGAAGCCAAATTTTTAGGATTAATTTTCGACCATCATTTAACTTTTTTGCCACATATTAAATTTCTAAAGACAAAATGCCTGAAGGCCCTAGATTTGTTAAAAGTCGTCTCAAATTTTAAGTGGGGAGGGGATCAGATAACCCTTCTTCACTTATACAGATCTCTAATTCGCTCTAAGCTGGACTATGGCTCCATTGTGTATGCTGCAGCTTGTAAGAGTAATTTAAAAAAAACTTGATTCAATCCACCATCAAGGATTAAGACTTTGTCTTGGCGCTTTTCGGACTTCCCCAGTTGACAGCCTATATGTCGAGGCTGATGAACCCTCTTTAAAACAACGCCGTACTAAATGGTCTCTCCAATATATTACTAAATTACGTTCCAATACCTCCAACCCTGCTTATGAGTCCGTTTTAAATCTCCTATATGAAGAATTGTTTCAGAAGAAACCAAAGCTGGTTCCTCCACTTGGAATTCGGCTCAAATCCCATATTAATGCTGCAAATCTAGATCTGGACATCATCTCTCCTTACCGACTTTTGTCTTCTCCTCCCTGGGAGTTGGTGAGGACAGAAGTAGACATTTCCCTCACACGTTATATTAAATCTGACACTAACCAGCTGTTATATATTTTCACTGCTGAGTCCAATGCTATTCTTACAGCATTGATATACATTCAACAACAGTCTGCACGTAAACAATTTATCATCTTTTCTGATTCTCTTTCTTGCCTTCAGGCACTAAATAATGTATCTTTGACTCATCCACTGATTTCAGATATTTTAGAACTTTACAATGATCTTTCAACTGGCCAAAACGACATCGTCTTCTGTTGGTTACCCAGTCATATGGGCATAAAAGGTAACACAATGGCTGATGCTGCTGCAAAGGCAGCACTCAACAAATATGTGACACTACTTCTTGTCCCATACAGTGATTACAAACCTGTGATTCGATGTTACATCCGAGATCTGATTCAAAAGAAGTGGGACACCCAAGCAGGTATGAATAAGTTACATGAAATTAAACCAAATATTGGTTACACCTACTTGGGTTGTCAGTCCAGATTTGAAGAGGTCATTTTACGACGATGTCGTATTGGCCATTGTAGATATACGCATGAATATGTGTTAAAGGGTGAAGATCCTCCGTTTTGTATCCCTTATGATGAGAGAATCAGTCAAGCATGTCCTGCTTGACTGTATTGATTTTTACATTACAAGGGATAAATATTTCAGTGTGAAAACCATTAAGGACCTTTTTAGCCATGTCAATTCACGTTTAATCATTAACTTTTTAAAAGATATAGAACTCATTCACACATTTTGATGTAAAAAGTTATGTATTTTATAATTCGGTAGTGTATAATTAGTAACTGAGGCTGTTCGTGGCTGTAACCTCGACGGGGGTTGAAGTAGTGTAAAATTATTGTCACCCTGAGAGGGTATGTAAGACCACCTCTTTCAAAGTATATTTATATCTACCTCCATTTTAACTGCAGAATATTTGTTAACTTTTAAGGTCTGGCTAAACTCGCAATAATCGCCAGTAACTTGGGGAAGTGTAAATCCTGCTGGGGAACCATGCAGGTAGCAGAGGTACCGTAAGTCCCCTTGGTCCCCAGTAAGGTGATTTTAACTTTGTTGCTGGCGATCTATAGCCCCATTTTCATATTGTGTCGTACCTCAATAATCAGATATTTTTAATGTTCTACAACTAGTTTTAAGTCAATCTGTGATATATTGCTAGTTATTATACTGTCCTTTGTCGACAGTTTTTATAAATATTGTATAACTTGCTCAAGTCACATTATGGTTGAAATATTGCCGACTTTAAATTGAACTCACTCACTCACTCACATGTATGTACAGCGTTATCACTTCCAGCTCCATCACTGTTGTCAGTGCCTTCTCTCTGTTAATGCCAGCATATGTATCATTTATTATATCAAATCACATAAAACCAGTATTCCCTTGATGAAGGAGTAAGACTTTCCCAAAGTGGAATGAAAAACACAAGGATCTATTCCAAACATTTATTTATATAAATAACACTTCTGACAACGCATCATGCACAAAATCTTGGAATGTGCAGATTAACAAAGGGTACAGTTGGACGAATATCACTGTGAAAAGACATGACTTAAGCACATATTCAAAACTTCCATTTTATTTGTACAAAGTATTAACAATTTATGTACACATTTAGAAATGGCATTATGCATTAAAATAAATATACAACAGAACCTTACATCCTTCCTTGTGTAATGTAACTAGATGATAAGACTTAACATCAGATAAGCCTGGATCCTGGTAGGAAATCAGGATACTTCCCTGTCACAAATGAATCAGCATTATGGTCGGCAAAACAGCCCTATCATGATTAACTTGCAACATCATGACAATGGGCCAAGTCTCTTGCTTCACATTAGACTGCAAATAAGCTGATCACGTCAAATGATAATTTGGCTCTGTGTTTAATGAAAAACACTATAATAGACATACATCTATATAATATAATATACTCCTCAAAACAAGTTAAAGAACACCTAGAAAAGCTGTGTGTACCCACCAGCCATGATAGATTAACTATAGTAATATGAATGAGAGTTCTTTAACTTCTTTTGAGTAGTATGTATTCATGATGCTGTGTAAGTGGGACAGAGGTTTAAAGATGTGAAATTTTTTTATGTGAGCCAGGAAATAGAAAATCAGCTTCATAAGGAAACGTATTGGATTACTTAGGGCTAAGATTAGTTTCAATATTTAAACTCAAATAGTTGTAACAAATGAGACACAAAAGGACCATGGCATGTTGGATTTGTTTTTCAGGGTTAGACCAATATAACCCTTAAGGGCGCAAACCAGACCAGTGCAATAGTAAACAATTATTTAAGACGATTTCCCTAAGCTTTCAATGAAACTATTCAGCCAGTTTGTCCTTTATTGAGGAGATTAAAATAATACAACAACATAAGTGACTGATAGGTGTAGAACTTAACACTAGCCCACTAACCTGGGCCTAGCACAAATTTTCCCATTTCACCAATGTTTTAACATTACAAGGGCATTTTATCTTTAACTGGGCTAGTAAAGCATTTGACTTTAGTTCTAAAGCTGACTGAGACTTTATATTTACCACAAGCGATGTAAGCTCTAACCTGATTGTAAATTAGTGATCCTGTGCCTCTTTTCTCAAAACAAACCTAGAAACTACTGTTAGCCCGCACTTAAACATAGACTTATGACAGTTGCACTGTGTACTTGTGGAACATCTTCCCGAAGTATTGTCACCTAGTGGACCAGTGTAAGGGCAGAACTCTGATGGAGATCTCGATGAACATGTATGTCAATGGTCATGATGACTATACAGGGATGCAAGATGCTCAAGGCTGAGAAACCAGGTTCTCCTTGGCCTATACAGGGATGTGACTCTCAGGGCAGAGGAACCAGGGTCTCCTTGGCCTTTACAGGGATGTGACACTCAGGGCGGAGGAACCAGGTTCTCCTGGATTATACAGGGATGTGACACTCAGGGCAGAGGAACCAGGGTCTCCTTGGACTTTAGAGGGATGTGGGACTCAGGGCAGAGGAACCAGGTTCTCCTGGATTATACAGGGATGTGACACTCAGGGCAGAGAAACCAAGGTCTCCTTGGCCTTTACAGGGATGTGAGACTCAGGGCAGAGGAATCAGGTTCTTATACGGGGATGTGAGATGCTCAAGGCAGAGGAACCAGGTTCTCCTTGGCTTACACAGGGATGTGAGATGCTTAAGGCAGAGGAACCAGGTTCTCCTTGGCCTATACAGGGATGTGAGACTCAGGGCAGAGGAACCAGGTTCTCCTTGGCCTTTACAGGGATGTGAGACTCAGGGCAGAGGAACCAGGTTCTTATACGGGGATGTGAGATGCTCAAGGCAGAGGAACCAGGTTCTCCTTGGCTTACACAGGGATGTGAGATGCTTAAGGCAGAGGAACCAGGTTCTCCTTGGCCTATACAGGGATGTGAGACTCAGGGCAGAGGAACCAGGTTCTCCTTGGCCTTTACAGGGATGTGAGACTCAGGGCAGAGGAACCAGGTTCTTATACGGGGATGTGAGATGCCTAAGGCAGAGGAACCAGGTTCTCCTTGGCTTATATGGGGATGTGAGATGCTGAAGGCAAAGGAACCAGGTTCTCCTTTATTATACAGGGATGTGACACTCTCAGGGCAGAGGAACCAGGTTCTCCTTGGCCCACTTCTTCATGGTCCTGATGATGTACTCCACCTGTGGGTTGCTGGTATTACGCAGCATGTTGATGACATCACGCAGCATCTCCCTAAAACAGATCCCACATGACACAACATGACACAACACACAGTCAGCATGCAAACAGGACATGGACAAAGACTTGAAACAAATCAGAGGTTTGGTGGACAATCAGTTTCGATAGACAAAATAAGATGCATTGATTGAGACTTGTGTTGCTCCATACAGCAGGAACCGGTACTACTCATGCTACACTCTACAAGTGTCCTGGAACTACTGCATCTAGCTGCTGAAGAAGCAGGTGATATTGTGATGGTGCCAAGGACAAAGCAAACAGTGCATGATGGGACATGTAATCAATGGTGAGTGAGGATGATAGAAATGTATTTACTAAGTGTGCCAGGGTACACACAGGGATGTTTAGTGTGCCCTTTGGAATAAAAACATGCCAAAAGAAATAATACATAGTTTATCTTCAGACTTTGTGAACACTGTGACCCAAAAGAAGTGTACATTGTTCATCTTCAGATTTTGTGAATCCCACCCAAAAGAAGTGCACATTGTTTGTCTTCAAACTCTTTGAACACTGTGACCCAAAAGAAGTTTACATAGCTTATCTTCAGACTTTGTGAACACTGTAATCCAAAACAAGAAATTCACAGTTTATCTTCAGATTTTGTGCCATTCATGGTTGTAAATGTGACTTTAGCAGTAAAGTACAAGTAATTTCGAAGCCTGCCAGGTTGTTCAATGTTAGAAACAGTGATGAGGATGTTAGTTGGAGGCCAATGAACAGAAGGAAGTGAGTGAAGGGGTAGACAGTAGCCAACAAAGGCAGAGTCTGCTAGACATGAACTTTGTTGTCTCGGGCCCATTTTTTCATGGTCCTTGTGATGTATTCCACTTGTGGATTGCTGGTGTTTCTCAGGAGGTGCAGAACTTCACGCAAGTTTTCCCTGGAGAGGCAAACAGGACAGCCAAGTTACTAGCAAGCCTGCGACCGTCATGCTGCGCGACCAACGCTGGAGGTGCAAGGATCCCACCAGACTGACCTCAGGAAGTTACATAACTATTCCACCAATTTGAAGAGTTGAAGGATAATTGTACACCAAGTCATCAGTAACTATCCTTGCACCTCCAGTGTAGGAGATCTATTGGGGGAGGTGTGGGAGGGGAGATTGTGCCTTACATTTAGGCAGAGGAAGAAAGTTAGAAGAGCATGATTAGTCATGTTTGTAATGATGGTTTTATAGGGTAGTCCAGAGGTCCTTGAGGTGATGAGTTCCATTGCTGAGTTCCATTTATTTCTAATTTTTACAGTGGCATTAGGACAAAGGCCCCATTATGACATTATTTTGAAAACTGCGAGGAATTAACAGAGATAGGCATTTGTGATGAAATACCATCATAAGAATTTCATGAATATAATTCTAAATATGATGTATTAGCTGTATTGGCGCCTTGGGAGACCAATAGTGGGGTATACAGCATCATGTTGTTTAACTTCACATTACTGGGCAGGGGAGGGGGAGGGAAAGGGGGGAGGGCAAGGGGAGAGAGAGGCTCTAGGGGAGTAGCTGTTAGTGAAAAGCAGGTATCAAGGGGAGGAGGCGAAGCAGTGGTTATTAGTAGGGGTCAGTTGTCAATAAGGAGCTTATATAATTTATGATCCAAAACCAAAATAGATTGAACTACATACCTACATGTACATGCATTTACTAAACCTAGGTACTACAGAGGCTGAGAGTTATGGCCCTTATTACACAAGGGTCAGCAGACACAGATGCTTGTGGCCAGTGATGGATCAACGTGTTAGTTAAATAACAAAACATGAATAAGAAGTACAACAGGTCAAATCTTTTTGTTTCTCTTTTTGGCTTCACTTGAAATACAATGTCCTCCATTATCCACCCATCATTACCCAGTGTATTAAATGTCAGTTCTATTAAGATATATGCCCTGGACACATTTGCTACCATAACTTCGTTTCAGGAGCGAAACACAATCTTCATCTCTCATCATTAACTTGACACAGAATTTCTATTGCTCATGAGTGTAATCAGATGTTAGTTCTGTTGTGTCATTCAAAGCGTAACATGAGCTGTCTTTACAAATCATCTTCCCGAAGCAAGGCTGAACTAGGCTGGAATTATGGAGTTATACTCTGGCTGGACTAATGAGTCTATGCATAGTCCAATCAAAATCTTCTATTGCAGGATTTGAAAAACATGTGTACTGTCAACATGCTGTCAGCAGAAACTTTTGAAATCTTTTCATGTTTTTAATCAAGGTGGTCACGTGATTTGATGCACTTTGGAAAAGTAAGACCCGTTTCACTACAATATAGATCTTGATTATCAATCAGATCGCCTTGACTAGGCGCTGCCATTTTGTTTGAAGCAAATGTAATTGATATGAGAGGTGGAATCTGATTGGTCAATAGGGACACAGAAAGGACATTCTCGTAATAGCCATTGGTGGCGCTACAATCAAGCCCAGAAATTCCAGCCTAGTTTGGTAAGGGTGGAAACTGGACCTTTTACAGTCAGTTAACTCCCTTGCCTTTTGAAGATGTTACAAATGGGCCCAGGGCATTTCCCAGTAGAAAGGTGACTGTAATCGAGGATGCCAGGCTACCTAACATGACACTTTCTTGAGGGATGCCATTACACAATATCTGCATACCTGACATACCTTGCCCAAAACTAAACGAGGTTATCTTGTGGCATCACAAGGGCCCTACTTCAATCCCTGGTTTCCTAGGTCCATGTGGTTCTATACAGGTTAGTCAGAGAGTACTGAGGTATTGACATGTGGTCATCATCTGTGAACTCACCTCTGCTCATGTCCGGCAATGATCATCTGGAACACGCCGACACAGGCGCCTCGCTTGCCCTCCCAGTACTCAGGGTTGGGGTCCAGGCGTTCCAGAACATCAAACGCTTTAGCTGCATAGTAGAACTGTCCCATCTGGTGCAACACACAAGGACACATAGTAGTCAGCAGTTCTATATACTGGTAGTAGAACTGACCCATCTGGTGCAACACACAAGGACACATTGCACTCATCAGTTCTATATACTGGTAGTAGAACTGACCCATCTGGTGCAACACACAAGGACACATAGCACTCAGCAGTTCTATATACTGGTAGTAGAACTGACCCATCTGGTGCAACACACAAGGACACATTGCACTCATCAGTTCTATATACTGGTAGTAGAACTGACCCATCTGGTGCAACACACAAGGACACATAGCACTCAGCAGTTCTATATACTGGTAGTAGAACTGACCCATCTGGTGCAACACACAAGGATACATAGCACTCAGCAGTTCTATATACTGGTAGTAGAACTGACCCATCTGGTGTAACACACAAGGGCACATAGCACTCAACAGTTTCATATAACGATAGTAGAACTGACCCATCTGGTGCAACACACAAGGACACATAGCACTCAACAGTTTCATATAATGGTAGTAGAACTTTCCTATCTGGTGTAACATACAAGGAGTCATAGCACTCAAGTAACATGGCAGTGAATGAGTGAGTGAGGTTTAATGCCGCTTTGAACAGTATTGTAGTTTAATTATGGCATGTCACCTTGATGTGGGAGGAAAGTCCGAACTGATGCAGGTCTTATCTATTACCACTTTGATAACTAACAAGCAGGGGTATGGTACTGACAAACCAAGAATCAAAATCAGAGTCAACATGGTCAATATGCATCTTAACCTATGATCCTAAGTTCCTGGCGTGCCTAGGGGACACGACTCTGCACCAGAGAGGTGCCGGAGAAGACAAGCGAAAAAGAGGCATGGAGACAGAAATGTACGATCCTCAGTCAGTGTTTCAACAAACTCCAAATCACATCTACCAAAGTTGAGGCAAACATAATCATCAACATGATGAAGGGCACTGATGAAGAAGTCTCCCCAAGGCTGCCATACACACAATACACAAACTGTTAACCAAAAACATATTGTAGTCAAACCAAATAAATTGGTGTCCTCTATCTTGATATTAGATACACGACATCAAGCATGAGTATGTCAGGTGCAACTTACCTTGTAGCAGTCATTAGCAATGAGCTGCAGCAGGCTGAATGACTCCCCCGACGTCTCCATCTTCAAGTACAGCTCCCAGGCCAACCTGGCCTTGTGGTTCATAATATCTGGCAAATACATTAAGTGAGTGAGTGAGTGAGTTGGGTATGAACAGTTCTTCAGTCAAGGTCTGTGAGCTTAATGTGGGAGAAGGGGGCGAAGGGGTAGCGTAGTGGTTAAAGCAATTGCTTCCGGGTCCCCACATGAGTACAATGTGTCTGGTGTTCCCACCATGATATTGCTTGAATATATTGCTAAAAGCATCGCGAAACCATACTCACTCACTGACGTGGGAAAGGTCAAATGGATTCGGGGTGTGGATGCTTAACACTGCGGTGAAATTGAGCATGGTCAGGTGCTGACAAACCTAGAATCCTTATCAGGGCAAATCTTGGTAGCTAGCCCATGGGAACAGGATTCTGGCATGCCATAGGGAGGCTAATCTGCACAATGACTTTTTCCTGCCATGGGTAACTGCCCCACCTGTGCTATCAAACATAGGATGGCAGAAACAGTAAACATGGTAAAGAAGCCTGGGCAACATTTCAACAAACCTTTTTCTTCAGCTATCCAACATGAGCAATGTAACAAAATTCACTGGTCATAAGAAAATTGTCCAGATGAGTAATGTGTGTAGTGACAGTGATGACTTACAACATCGGGCCAGCCAGCTGAGGTAGATGTAGTCATTCTTCACCTTGTCGCTCTGTATCAGCATGAAGATCTGAAACACACAAGTATACTGAACAGCATTCACCTCCTACAGGACTCCTATCTCAAGTAGAGGTCGGTGCTCTACTGGATACCTTGCCATTTGACAACACAAGTCCCTCTGTGGGTCCAAGATGTTTATTCTATGATATTACGCAGCTACACAATAATTATGATCATAGTCTCCAGTAAGCATCTCCCTGTAGGTCGGCCAACCCCTCTCTCTGCTTTCCCAGGGTCACGTCTGAGCAAATACAAAGCTTTGTCCATTTATCCCTAAGGGGTGAATCATGGTCAGACATGTCTTTCAGCCTGCCGTATCCAGCACCTCGTCCAGAATGTCATGTTTCAATGACTACACTGTGAATACCTAAATCCCACCAACAATACTGGTTTCACATACATATAATCTGAAACACAGACATACATGACAGAATTCACCTGTCTCACACAGACACCATCTGAAACACAAACAGCATTCACCTGTCTCACACATGCACCATCTGAAACACAAACAGCATTCACCTGTCTCACACATGCACCATCTGAAACACAAACAGCATTCACCTGTCTCACACATGCACAATCTGAAACACAAACAGCATTCACCTGTCTCACACATGCACCATCTGAAATACAAACAGACACGTAGGCATTCACCTGTCTCACACATGCACCATCTGCAACACAAACAGCATTCACCTGTCCCACACATGCACCATCTGCAACACAAACAGACACTTAGGCATTCACCTGTCTCTCACATGCACCATCTGAAACACAAACAGCATTCACCTGTCTCACACATGCACCATCTGAAACACAAACAGCATTCACCTGTCTCACACATGCACCATCTGAAACACAAACAGCATTCACCTGTCTCACACATGCACCATCTGAAACACAAATAGCATTCACCTGTCTCACACATGCACCATCTGAGACACAGACAGACATCCCAGCATTCACCTGTCCCACACATGCACCATCTGCAACACAAACAGCATTCACCTGTCTCACACATGCACCATCTGAAACACAAACAGCATTCACCTGTCTCACACATGCACCATCTGAGACACAGACGGCATTCACCTGTCTCACACATGCACCATCTGAAACACAAACAGCATTCACCTGTCTCACACATGCACCATCTGAGACACAGACAGACATCCCAGCATTCACCTGTCCCACACACGCACCATCTGCAACACAAACAGCATTCACCTGTCACACACATGCACCATCTGAAACACAAACAGACACGTAGGCATTCACCTGTCTCACACATGCACCATCTGAGACACACGTGGTATTGGTATTGTCAATGTCAAGATGACCTGATACAAGACTCCACCCACCTCCTCTGCCTCCTTGAAGTTGCCCACGGCTGCCTTGGCTTGAGCGTAGTTGAAGTTAAACATGTCGTCATTGTAGAAGTAGCTCTGTAACAAGGAATGCTGTGTCAGCATATCTGATGCCGCCATGGAAAATACTAGTCTACACAACCATTTAACATTCTTTCTGGGTTTATATACATGGGAAATGTGAGATAAATTTAACCTGGTGATACACCTATTGAAGGACACTATGTGCCCATAGCATAGAAATGTTTACTGAAATACAGGTCGACCACCCACCTTAATGGAGTTGAGATAGATCAACACATCTTCAAACTGCTTGAGAAGGAAGAAGCACTCCGACATGCATTGACGCCCGGGGATGGTATCTGTGGCAGAGATGTGTTGAACATTACAACTCCACACACATATAGTAACACAAGACTAACAGCAAGGATAGTGTATGACGTGATGCCAGGACAAGGATCTTAGTCTAATATCTTTGCATACTGTAAAAGTTCACGTTAAACCATTCAAAGTTACAACAGTTGAATTGATAGATGCAAATGAAGTTAAGATTTAAGATGGATGGATGGATGGATGGATGGAGTGATAGAGTGAGTGAGCGAGTATAGTTTAATGATGCACTGAACAATATTTCTGTTATAATATGCCAGCTTTGTGTGGAAGGAAAACCCATAGCAGGTCTTAAACATTCACCACTTTAGGAAAAACCTATGAGCACAACTAAGGTGCTGTCAAACCGAGAAAAATCACCAGGCCACACTCCGAGATTCAAATCCAGGATCACAAGTTTCTGGCATGTCTAAGGGACGCAACTCTGCACAGCAAATAATGGTGCCTCAGAAGCCTTAGCTATCTGTACCCAATGTAAACAACATATGTTCAAGACCTACTGGCAAAGTGTATTCAACACGCTTAGTTAAAAATAATAATGGCCATGCTGTAATAAGAGTTATATGAAAACCAGTTTCAGGGGAGACAATACATGACTACCTATGACCTATGTACATACCACATTCACTGGCTGATCCTCCCACCAGCTGAAAATACTGCTGTGCTATTTTCAAGTGCTCTCTCTGAAAACAGAATACAGGGCTTACATGAGCATTCCAGCCACAGGTCGCACAAGTTACATAATCATATTGATAAATAAATCAATAAACATGATGAATGACATCAGTTGTACTTGGCTAGCCCACCAATATCAACAACAAACCAATGAATATTATCATCATGAACAAGGTTAAATGTCGTTTGACACACAATCATCCAAGTCGATGAGTCTGACGAGCCGTCACTGAATGTCCCATACATATTGCGTAGGTTCCTGGGGACCTTTCCTAACATTTAAACCATAATGATGACGTCTCGTAATTATTCGTGCAGTTGATTCTGAGCCAGGAATTCACTGGCCATTTTGAACCTGCATCTTAAACAAGTAAAACTGATGCATCTTTAATGCAAACTTATAGATGAATTATATATCAACCATAATATGGTTTAAGTCAGAGAAACCACTTGAATCTGTTGATTCCAAAGAAGAATCAACTCATCAATCTGGGGCTCATTGATTTAAGCATGACAATAGACACGGATGACAATAGACACGGATGACAATAGACACGGAGTACATACTGAGCCCTGCTCCTGTCCGAGAGCAGCATTCACGACTCCCTTGAGAATGTACTCCTGGGGTGTGGTGGGTTCCAGGTCTCGGATCAGGTTGTACGCTTCAGCCACATCATCTGTAACACCAACACTCACTGCTAGATACAATACACCCAATGTAAGGTCTGTATTCAGAGTTACAACAACACTCACTGCTAGATACAACACACCCAATGTAAGGTCAGTATTCAGAGTAACACCAACACTCACTGCTAGATACAACACACCCAATGTAAGGTCAGTATTCAGAGTTACAACAACACTCACTGCTAGATACAACACACCCAATGTAAGGTCTGTATTCAGAGTTACAACAACACTCACTACTAGATACAACACACCCAATGTAAGGTCTGTATTCAGAGTTACAACAACACTCACTGCTAGATACAACACACCCAATGTAAGGTCTGTATTCAGAGTTACAACAACACTCACTGCTAGATACAACACACCCAATGTAAGGTCTGTATTCAGAGTTACAACAACACTCACTGCTAGATACAACACGCCCAATGTAAGGTCTGTATTCAGAGTAACAACAACACTCACTGCTAGATACAACACACCCAATGTAAGGTCTGTATTCAGAGTTACAACAACCCTCACTGCTAGATACAACACACCCAATGTAAGGTCTGTATTCAGAGTTACAACAACACTCACTGCTAGATACAACACACCCAATGTAAGGTCTGTATTCAGAGTTACAACAACACTCACTGCTAGATACAACACACCCAATGTAAGGTCTGTATTCAGAGTTACAACAACACTCACTGCTAGATACAACACACCCAATGTAAGGTCTGTATTCAGAGTTACAACAACACTCACTGCTAGATACAACACACCCAATGTAAGGTCTGTATTCAGAGTTACAACAACACTCACTACTAGATACAACACACCCAATGTAAGGTCTGTATTCAGAGTTACAACAACACTCACTGCTAGATACAACACACCCAATGTAAGGTCTGTATTCAGAGTTACAACAACACTCACTGCTAGATACAACACGCCCAATGTAAGGTCTGTATTCAGAGTTACAACAACACTCACTGCTACATACAACACACCCAATGTAAGGTCTGTATTCAGAGTTACAACAACACTCACTGCTAGATACAACACACCCAATGTAAGGTCTGTATTCAGAGTTACAGCAACCCTCACTGCTAGATACAACACACCCAATGTAAGGTCTGTATTCAGAGTTACGGCAACACTCACTGCTAGATACAACACACCCAATGTAAGGTCCGGTATTTAACTTTTTCTGAGATCAAAGACCTCACTACCCCATCCATAAGTTACTAACTACTGCACCAAATTCATACCACACGACCACTATTACTACTATAAATAATGGTAAGCAATGTTTTAAAGTATTGTAGCATTTCACTGTCGGGGTCGTGTGTGTTCAAGATGCAGAATATTTAAAGATTTTCTTTTTGTTCGAAAATGGATATAAAAATGAAACATGCAGCGGATTTCATGATGATGCGGCAGTGCCTCAGAACCAAGAATATTTTGCATCCCTTGGGATCTGCATCCATTCTGTATATTTGTGCATAGGATGCACATGTGTGCGTTGCATAAAACCCAGAGTCTTTGACTCTTGGCTGCATCACTTCACAATGAGATTGACTGCAAATATGTCAATAAAGGACTCAAATACACGACAAAGGAAGATGGGTAGTGGATGCAAAATCAGCAGACATCGTAACAAGGAAACCCTGCCAACAGGAAGCAGCACCCACCCTGCTTGAGGTAGTATATCACCAGATTGAGACGAGCTTCAGGGATGACATCTATCAGTGGAGGTAACACCTGGAGAGCCCCCTCACCACCACGGAACACCACCTAGGATGAGAGACGACTCAGTTTGACAGAATCTACAATAACGTATACATGATGATTGTGTGTGATGATTTTGTCCGTTTGTTGTATAACGCTGCACTCAGCAATATTCCAGCTATATCAGGGCGGTCTGTAAATGATCGAGTCTGAACCAGACAATCGAGTGATTGACATCATGAGCAATTGGATTACGATGACACGCATGAACCAAGTCAGCGTTAGTCATCTCTTACAACAAGAAAAATTCCCTTTTACGGCAAGAAAGTGTTGCTGAAAACCTATTCCATCCCGGATCTTCGAAGGTCGTGTGTAATGAGGCCTGGACTGACATACACTGACTACAGACTTACTGAACATACATAATGTAGTATCTGATTCATTGATGAACCCATTAGTGTATAATGAGGTTTTAGCTCAACATCAAACACTGGCTGAATGAATGTTGACATTGCAATTACTGATTACATATACTACCATGTAGTAACAATGAGGTCTTGGCTGACTGAAGATTGTGTAATCCTACACTTATGTACCTATGTAATATTATGAGGCTGCAGCTCACATACTGACAGATTGACTGAAGACTGTCTAATATTCAGATAAACTGCAGCTGGACAGCCTGACCAGCAAATGTAATACAGTAAACTAGGGTTATAACAAACTCTAATGACCACTAATTTTAGTTCGTAATAACTGTAGTTCGTTATAAGCATATATACAGGATATATACTGTCCGGGACTAAAAAATAAGTTTGTTAATCGGTCAGTTCATTATAAGAGTGTTCATTATAAACATTGTATATTGAATGTCCAGTTAAAGTTTTCAGTCAAGATTTTTTACACTGGGCTGCACAGTAAAGTTAACCTGTTAACCATGTTAACTACAGATGACAATAATGTATATTAATGTAATTTTAATTCAGAACAGGCTTACATGAATGAAGTGCAATAAAGAATTTCTCCCTGACCTGAACTAGTATTACTTGTTGTTTTATAAAACTAAATGAAATAAATAAAGACAATCAGCCAGATCATTGGACGTGTATATTTCAGTACTTGACTATTGGAAACACAAACAGTCTGACTCAGATGGTCAGGCTGGTTGGTATCTTAAACACTGAATTTGTAACTTAATTACTGAATGAACCCATGTTGTATAATGAGATCTCTGGTGAAATACTGGATGACTGAACAAAGATATTGCAATAACTATTGAACCAATGTGTACAATGGGGTCCTCTGGCACTGGCTCAAACACCTGTTGATGAATGTAGAATATGGAATAACTTGCTGTACCCACATACCAGATTATGCTTGATGAGGTCCCGGGCGAAGGTGAAGGACGGTGACGACATCTCTTGCAGAGCCTTTAGTTCAGCCTGAATATGAAGCAATCACTATTACCATGACGACAGCCACTGAAGGAACACTATCTACAGGAGGTACATAAACACTAGATCACATCTGTAGGTGGTATTCATAGCTATATATTAGTGACCAGTAAGTGAGGTGAAATGGTGTTTAACGTCGCATCCAAGATTATTGCACTTATATAGCGACGTGCATGCACGTGTGTGTGTAGCTGCTTGTACTAGTCAGGACTGATGCCGATTTATAGTGCTAGCACACTGAGATATCATGCTGCAGTTTAACATGAATACCCCACTCAGACACAGTATACTGACTCCGAGCAGGCCAGTTTTAGCCCCTTAATACCGAGCACCAGACAGGGTAACAACAAGTACCATCTTTTAACGTCTTTTGGTATGACACGGCTGGGGATCGAACCCCGGACCTTCTTCTCTCCAGGCGGACGTTCTACCACCAGACCACGGAGGCGGTCAAGTGACCAGTAGATGCCTGACAGCTACAGCAGGGCAGTACAAAGCTACGATATCCATCTGTGGTTTGTTTGTTTGTTGTTCAAAGCTGCACTCAGCAATACTTCAAGTGTATAATAACATCTGTTAGTAATCGAGTCAGGAGCAGACAATAGAGTGATTGATATTATGAACAACGTCTAACGCAATCAACCAAGTCTAACCAGCCGATCCATTCTCACTTGTCGGTTGCTGGGGACCCCATAGGGACACTGCTATAGTGGTCACAGTCAATAAGATTGTAGGAACTTTATCAATAATATCATACAGATACAACAGCAGTATCAAATGTCCCACCAGCGTTATACATACACTGGTCCTACATTCCATTGCTAGTAATGACTTGTTGATTGCCAGTGATGACCTACTGACCTCTGCAGCCTTGCCATTGTACAGACGGAAGTGGTTGCAAGCTTTCAGATTGAGAGCGATGGCGCTGTCTGGAAACTGCTGAAGGTAGACTGCCAACACTTCCTACAGAAGAAAACAGAAGTCTGTGATTGCAGAAGGAGACTGAGAACAGAGACAATAATGACTTAACTTTGAGAAACGTATGCATCAAAATAATGCTCAATGTTAATTTGGGATTTGAGTTCTTCAATTTCAGCAATCATTCATGATTATATAATCATTTCTGTTTACATCTGATATTTTCAACACACATATATTAATGGTATATGAAGTGATCCTAATTTGTATATCAGAACAAGGAGACTGAAGGTAACAGCTGCATTGTGCCATGTCCCACTGCTTCAGAATAGCTGACATTAGAGCTATATATGAGTGATATTGTGTGATCTACTTCTTGGGACTGCATAATGCCGACAGACATGTGGCTGGATCAACATGGAGATGGTTCCTACCTGTGACACATCGTAGTAGTCCAGCTTGTAGTAACACAGCGCCACGTACACATTCAGTGCCAGGAAGTCTCTGCAAGACGAGAGAGCGTTCATGTGATACCTATCTGATATCTGATGTTCATAGATAATGCAGTGTAACATGGAGTTTTACACACGTGAACAAAGAGTAGCTGTCATTTCACATCCAAAACACATATGTGACATTTATAATATATTTTTTGTGTAGTTGTCTACCTGAAAATTAAATTATTTCATAACAAATGTAAAACCTTGAAACATAAATTCTCCCTTCTAACACCCCATGTAATTGCGACTTAAAAAGTAGTTTCGTGTTTGCAAAATCTTAAAAAATATAAACAAAAGTATCAAAAAATATTTAGGGACACGAAAATTCTTTATGATATATATCAATATGATAATAAATACAAAATCAACTTAAAAAAAAAAATATTCTTAAAAACTAGCAGACCAATGATGGAAGCGAAAGAAAACACGTTGGCCAAGTACAAAAACGGCGCCTTGCGAAACAGTCTTGATTGACGAGTTAAATGAGAAATTCACAGTTTATAACAAATTATATTTCGAGAGAATAACAAACTGCAAGAAGTGATATCAACCCCATAAATATGTTATTATTTTGCCTTGTCAATGTGGAACTAACGTAAAAAGGATGTCAACAGTTTGTGTACGGACTAGACACCTACGATAAAGGGAGACGATTTAAGGGGAGGTAACTCTTGTATGACAATAGTTCCATCAAAGTGTTATGTTCACTGCACTGAAATATCAAGTGTTATGTTCACTGCACTGAAATATCAAGTGTTATGTTCACTGCAATGAAAATATCACTTTTCTCAACTTCAGAAAACTCAGTCTTTCCCACTGAAGTAAACAATAAAATACTTTGTTTCACACTTGTGCATGGAAACAATGCTGCAGCACACCTGAATACAAGCAAATAAGGATTTATTTTTGAATATGCCAGTTTAGGACACAGAATATTTGGACATGCTATGGACACAGTTAAAAATCCTAGATAAATACCACATCAGTAAATCAGTAAAGTAAACACAGACAAACTATTGTCAGCCATCTCGTATTTCTGACCGATTATCCAGCAGGATGCGCTTGTAGATGTCGATGGCCTCTTGGTAGTGTGAGCGAAGGTAGTGGATGGAGGCGAGGGACAGCTGGTCCTCGATGATATCCTGCAGGGCCTGGTGGTGGCCCATCAACCGGCGCTCATCATTGAACTTGTGAGACAGGTGGAACTGCAGGCGGTTCTGAAGGCGAGTCTTGGGAGCTAAAAGCACATATAACATCAAAAAGCTGGTACTACCACTGTCTGTTTGATAACTATCTGTTTAGAATGGGCTTTGCATATGCTGATGTTCAAGAATACTCCATAAACTCACAATAAATTATGTCAATGTTCAACTAGTATACCATGTATACATGGTAATTTGGCCTATTGGTAAATCAATCACAGCGTTAGAAATTGGCACCAGTCCTATAGTCCTTGCCAAACTGCCCAATAGTTAAGGTATCATAAGGACTAGTGGAAATTTGCCATTTTTAAGGGTTTTGTTATATGTATTCATTATAAGTACTTGTGGAGTAAAACTGTTAGTTTCTATCGCCGAGTCTTGTTCACTGCATACACAAAGGTAAATTATTTACTAGCCTTCTGATACATGTTGTATGGTCAGACCTGTTAGAGACAACTAAATATGGACTAAGTGCTTTAAAACAGATGCACATGGTCACAAATATCGGTGTTTCAACTCTCCACCACATGCTCAAGAGACAACAGGTACTCACATCGTGCTACAGCTGTGTCAGCATCGGAATACATCCCTAGGAAGAAGTAGCAGCAGGCTAGGAAGGCAAAGATGTCAGGATGACAGCCATCCCTCTTGGACAGCCTCTCGTATTCCTGGACACAAACTGTTGGTGTTAGTCAGTGAAGACATACCATCTACTCATCTGTTGTGTGGTGTCATGTAAGATTGTGTATGATACTCCTGGGTACTGTTGTACAAAACAACCTTAGCACTATCTTGAGGTATGGGAGTTACCTTAGCGATAAGATCATCGCATTGTACAACGGCACCCTGTACACTAACTGTTAGTAGTGGTAGTGGTTTATTTCAGTAAATCAGGCCACAGGCCCATTTTACTATCTCAAATAGGACTATCTCAAGGGGGCTGCCATTAAGAAAAAACTTTTCATAGCTTTTAAGCCTACCTGCCTTACGAAAAACAATGATTGTACTCTTGGTAGAATTAACCCTTAATTGCCACTTATCATGCTTATTGCAATAATCCACCAACTTATCTAAACGTTTTTGCAACCCGAGAACAGTGCTATCAAATAGGATAATGTCATCTGCAAATAAGAGTATAAAGAGATCCAGCAAGTCTAAATTAACACAATATCGCTTATCCACTCTCAAAAACTGTACTATATCATTTACAAAAAATGAAAATAGGAAAGGTGACAACTGGCAACCTTGCCGTACACCAAAGGGACAGTCAAAGAAGGGAGTACATCTATTGTTAACCAAAACACATGACTTCACATTCTGATACATATTATTCAAAAGTCTACTTTGTGTACTCCTCTGACAAGTGTAAACTAAAAGGTGTATTCAATACTAAGTTGTCCTCAACCATGCAAGAGTTGTCCCCCCTGTTGTGTTATCTCAGCTTTGCAGTAGTAGATGGTGTTTGATCTACATACCTCCATAGATCGTTTGTAGTCTCCCAGGTGGAAGGCACAGTAGGCAATCCACATGTCTACTTCTTCATTTCCCTTTCCACTGTTACGACTAAACTGCAAGTAACCATGGTGACACAAATTTAGAAACACCAATGCAAATGCAGCTGTGGACTCAGGCTCACAGGAGTACATAAAATACAGTTCATTAAATGACTTCAACTGTGGAAGAAACATCATTACTTGATGATATAAGTTAATCCGCAAGTGTGGACATAAGTCGGAAAAGAGCCAGACAAGGTAGCATAGGCTAGGTACCTCTAGCAGAGTGATAGCTCCGGTGTAATCTCGCGCTGACAAGAACTCGTCTAACTTTGGAAATTTCTTCTTTTTCTTCTGCTCCTTTCCTCCTGATGCGGCCCCCGGCCCCATGGCCGGCTTCATGCGTGAGAGCATCTGCAAAATACAGAAACTGTTCAGACTATGTGGACTGTGAATAAAAGTTGAAACATTAATCAGGTACCTATGACACTACAACATGACCATATTTGTGTATATTTTGTTACCATTTATGAAAATTACAGTCAGCATGGTCAGTTTAATAGACAAACAGTCATAGAAAAATGGTCTGACATATCTTAATGATCTATTTGAGACTCACTGAAATCCCGGTATTTTTCGCTATCAGTCTACAACTAATGTCACACCCTGAATTATCACTTTAAAACCATTGAAGTCTCACACTATGTGCTGAGTTCAAAATTCAATTTAGCACCATTAATCTTCAGGTAATCATGGTAATAGACTTACATAGAAAACATAACATGACAATAGTACAGGAAATCAGTAAGTGAATTCTAAACTGACATTGTGTCATTCTTCCTTTTTGCAAGAGTGGTTTCAAGCATTTTAAGTAATATAACAAGGGTATTTTCAATTTTGATATATATATTTTTGAACATATATATCTCTGGAATACACACTTATGTAGAAGGCTATCACAGGGTCGACATCTAATGTAAAAGTAATATCAGCTACTTTAAATGCTAAGAAACAATACATAGAAGGATGTGGTTGCCAAAGATAGTCCACTGACATACTGACTTTAAAGTTTTAAATATTGACTAAATTTATAGCCTTTCAGTTTACCAATGTTTTAGCTTTTGACTGCATTTTGGACAATGGTACTAAGATATAGAAATTAGGGTTAAAGAAATGCTCTTAGAAAAAGTACATTTGTATTAGTGTGCTGTTTGCATTGTCATGAACAGTGGGCACTAGAAGTGTAACAATACAATGGGACGATACATATCCCGATACTGGACTTGTATATAAAAAGCTGATATTCTTTATTTTTCAGGTAAATCACAACCCTGAATCGTATGTTTTTAATTTTCAGAGATCAAAGATGGGATTTGTAGGGCAAAAGCATATATAATATAGGCAAGAGGGAACTGTGAATGTTATGCCATTTAGAGCCAAACAGGAAATACTAGAGGATATGTGAAAGCTGGTTGTTGAACAATTTGTAATTATTCATGTGTCTTTACTCAAATGTCACTTGTAATTAAATGTATCATATTTATCACGATACAGAATTTGTAAATCAATGTTTTGTATCATGGGCCTCTTATTGCGATACAATATTCTGTAATGCTGTATAGATACACCACTAGTGGGTAACACTGAATGTTTGGATCAGTACCTTAAATTAGGGATGATTGGATAATGGAAACCAAGTCATGTGTTTTTTAGACAATGATCTATTTTGAGCTGTTTGTGTTTACTTTATCAGATATCAAAATATTGTCAAATAGCAGTACCACATTAAGACTGAGGGAGACAAACAGAATGCTTATAGGCATGTAAAGGGCCTTAGATAGTAGAGTGATCAGGTGATGATAGAGAACAGTCAATGACAAATATTGTTACCCACTGATTAGTCTACATTTTTAGACATAGGGCACGACTACGATGGAACCTTTGGTTAGAAATATTGACACTGGGTTTTACTGAACGCAAAATAATGAGTTTAGTATGCATTCAAATTTTGAGAATACATGCATGTCGCATATCACTGACACACTTGAGATGGACATATGACTGACAAACGTCAGATGGACATATGACACAAACGTCAGATGGACATGTATATCTCTGACAAACCTCAGAGTGACGATGGTTGATTGTCTTCAATTTAACATTGAAATTCCCATGTCTGCATGTAATGATATGTCATCAGTGAAGTCTGTAACATGTGGGGAGCATGGGACATGTCTGGACGACAAACTATCACTGAGAATCCCACTGACTCGAAAATAGATACGATAGACGCAGGTGAATGAATCACTGTGATGAGACTTGTTACTTTGTAGAATCTAGGCCTAGTCTCTAGCAACGAAAATGCCGATAAAAACGAACAGGCAGGCACATCATCTAAAACTGTTCCTAACCCTATATCAATGTGGCATGTCTGTGAATTGTCTTGATAAGTCATGTCGATACATTATATGGAAAATGGAAATAACATACCATCTTTCCCGGTGATAGTGTGAGACCAACAACGTCAAGATTTGCATTTGTTTGGAATGTCACTACACACCGATTGCGCCTGCGTTACCGGAAGCGGATGTTCGAATACCAGCCAATGATACGGGAGTAGCTTGATACCGAATCAAGTTTACTGAAACCGGTTTCCAAGATAGGTTTCGATGGAATGCTGTCCACGGGAGGATTTTACGACGATTGAATCACTATATAGCCACTGTTAACTACATATTACAAACTGCAGAAAAGGGGCGTGATTATAAATTGAACAAAGCAAATCAGAGATAATCCCACATTGACATCAATAAATCAAAAATATTTTCAAGTCTTCGAAAGGCATTTAGAATTGATATACATAAGGAAGAGAATTTATGGATGTCAACTTCTTTATTATGAGGAACACAACGTTTCGGAGGATATGCTTACTCCTTCATCGGGTGAATGAATGCTTTGAGGCAGAGAGCAAATATCCGTACATGTAAGAACAACAAAAGTAATGAAATTAAGATAACAAAAGGTGGAAACTTAACAAGGGAAGCCAACAGATAACTGGTGTTGATAGCTGATTAGCAAGAGACAATGGAAGCCAACACTTTACAGTAATTAGCGCTGATAGTTTTGGACAACTGGAGTGAGTGAGTGAGTGAGTTGGGTTCAACGCCGCTTTTTAACAGTATTCCAGTTATATCGAGGCGTGTAAGCTTAATGTGGGAGGAAAGCCCGAAGTGATGCAGGTCTCAGACGTTTACCACTTTGGTGAAACCCACGAGCACGGGTATGGTGCTGACAAACCTAGAAACATAATTTGGGCGAACCGGGATTCGAACCCACGATCATAGGTTTCTGGCGTGCCCAAGGGACGCAACTCTGCACAGCGAATCGCGGCGCCTTAGACGTCTGGGCCACCCGTGCCCCCTGGACAACTGGAAGCCAGGACTAAATTATCATTGGTAATTGGCAATGGACATTGGGTAAACGGGAGGCCGGGGGTAATTAACACTGATAGGTAAAAGAATAGAAATAGCAAAGGGCAAATAGAAGCCAGCCAGATAATAGGCACCGACAAGATCAATGCAATAAGTCCCAAGAACCAGGCATATAGGTTCCCTGGTCACGGTTCATGGCTGGTTGGTGTCTCCTGATGTCAATGGCGTCTTGTAGTTTTCTTTGTCGCCAGTTGTTGTTGGTGGTAGACAGGACTTTGGTGGCTTCCCACATGATGTTATGGTTTTGGTGCTTGAGGATGTGTTCTGGAATAGCGGATTTCAGGCCTAGTTTGTTGACAGAGGTCTGATGTTTTTGATTCTGATGTTGAGGGGTCTGAGGGTTTCAAAACACATGATTGATACGGTCTGATAGTTACGATTGCCTTACATATTCTTTTAATGTAATGTTTGGTATTCGTTTTGGTGGTTCGCGTTGAAATTTCAATATTATATCCCATGTATTGAAATAAACAAACGTCATTATTAATTTATTTTTATATATTTACTGACGCTTACAAAACGTTCCTACAATGATTCTAGTTTCTTCAGAAGGCACACACGACCCAGTGGTATAAGACGCCAGCTCTCGCCATGTCAGCTTGTATGTGATGGAAAATATTAGAATCACGTCCCTTCCCAGAGCTTGTTCCTTGCGGTCATAATTGTAATGTGCTGCTAAGTCAGACACGGATCCAGACACGACTAAGGGACAAAACTCTGCTTTTCTTCTTTCTCCTAAGAAAGTAAATTCGGTGTTCTGAAACACATTCAAGGTTGTGTCTACTGACTTGTAACACAGATCGGGTTTTGTGATCTGTCTTGTAACACTCAGATCGGGCTGTGTGCCCTCCCTGCGTTGTAACACAAACATCGGATTGTGTGTTCTGCCTTGTAACACAGATCGGGTTGTGTGTTCTGCCTTGTAACACAGATCGGGCTGTGTGTTCTGCCTTGTAACACAGATCGGGTTGTGTGTTCTGCCTTGTAACACACAGATCGGGCTGTGTGTTCTGCCTTGTAACACAGATCGGGCTGTGTGTTCTCCCTTGTAACACAGATCGGGTTGTGTGTTCTGCCTTGTAACACATAGATCGGGTTGGGTGTTCTGCCTTGTAACACAAACATCGGGTTTTGTGTTCTGCCTTGTAACACAAACATCGGGTTGTGTGTTCTGCCTTGTAACACAGATCGGGTTGTGTGTTCTGCCTTGTAACACAGATCGGGTTGTGTGTTCTGCCTTGTAACACTCAGATCGGGTTGGGTGTTCAGCCTTGTAACACTCAGATCGGGTTGGGTGTTCTGCCTTGTAACACTCAGATCGGGTTGTGTGTTCTGCCTTGTAACACTCAGATCGGGCTGTGTGTTCTGCCTTGTAACACTCACATCGGGTTGTGTGTTCTGCCTTGTAACACTCTGATCGGGTTGTGTGTTCTGCCTTGTAACACTCACATCGGGTTGTGTGTTCTGCCTTGTAACACAGATCGGGTTGTGTGTTCTGCCTTGTAACACAGATCGGGCTGTGTGTTCTGCCTTGTAACACAGATCGGGCTGTGTGTTCTGCCTTGTAACACTCAGATCGGGTTGTGTGTTCTGCCTTGTAACACTCTGATCGGGTTGTGTGTTCTGCCTTGTAACACAAACATCGGGTTGTGTGTTCTGCCTTGTAACACTCACATCGGGTTGTGTGTTCTGCCTTGTAACACTCAGATCGGGTTGTGTGTTCTGCCTTGTAACACTCACATCGGGTTGTGTGTTCTGCCTTGTTACACAGATCGGGTTTTGTGTTCTGCCTTGTAACACTCACATCGGGTTTTGTGCTCTGCCTTGTAACACTCAGATCGGGTTGTGTGTTCTGCCTTGTAACACTCAGATCGGGTTGTGTGTTCTGCCTTGTAACACTCAGATCGGGTTTTGTGTTCTGCCTTGTAACACAGATCGGGTTGTGTGTTCTGCCTTGTAACACTCAGATCGGGTTGTGTGTTCTGCCTTGTAACACAGATCGGGCTGTGTGTTCTGCCTTGTAACACAGATCTCGCTGTGTGTTCTGCCTTGTAACACTCAGATCGGGTTGTGTGTTCTGCCTTGTAACACTCTGATCGGGTTGTGTGTTCTGCCTTGTAACACAAACATCGGGTTGTGTGTTCTGCCTTGTAACACTCACATCGGGTTGTGTGTTCTGCCTTGTAACACTCTGATCGGGTTGTGTGTTCTGCCTTGTAACACAGATCGGGTTTTGTGTTCTGCCTTGTAACACTCTGATCGGGTTGTGTGTTCTGCCTTGTAACACTCACATCGGGTTGTGTGTTCTGCCTTGTAACACTCTGATCGGGTTGGGTGTTCTGCCTTGTAACACAGATCGGGTTGTGTGTTCTGCCTTGTAACACAGATCGGGTTGTGTGTTCTGCCTTGTAACACTCACATCGGGTTTTGTGTTCTGCCTTGTAACACTCAGTTCGGGTTAGGTGTTCTGCCTTGTAACACTCACATCGGGTTGTGTGTTCTGCCTTGTAACACTCAGATCGGGTTGTGTGTTCTGCCTTGTAACACTCAGATCGGGTTGGGTGTTCTGCCTTGTAACACTCAGATCGGGTTTTGTGTTCTGCCTTGTAACACTCACATCGGGTTTTGTGTTCTGCCTTGTAACACAGATCGGGTTTTGTGTTCTGCCTTGTAACACTCACATCGGGTTTTGTGTTCTGCCTTGTAACACAGATCGGGTTGGGTGTTCTGCCTTGTAACACTCACATCGGGTTGTGTGTTCTGCCTTGTAACACTCTGATCGGGTTGTGTGTTCTGCCTTGTAACACTCACATCGGGTTTTGTGTTCTGCCTTGTAACACTGATCGGGTTGTGTGTTCTGCCTTGTAACACAGATCGGGCTGTGTGTTCTGCCTTGTAACACAGATCGGGCTGTGTGTTCTGCCTTGTAACACAGATCGGGTTGTGTGTTCTGCCTTGTAACACACAGATCGGGTTGTGTGTTCTGCCTTGTAACACAGATCGGGCTGTGTGTTCTGCCTTGTAACACAGATCGGGTTGTGTGTTCTGCCTTGTAACACACAGATCGGGCTGTGTGTTCTGCCTTGTAACACAGATCGGGCTGTGTGTTCTCCCTTGTAACACAGATCGGGTTGTGTGTTCTGCCTTGTAACACACAGATCGGGTTGGGTGTTCTGCCTTGTAACACTCAGATCGGGTTGGGTGTTCTGCCTTGTAACACAAACATCGGGTTTTGAGTTCTGCCTTGTAACACAAACATCGGGTTGTGTGTTCTGCCTTGTAACACAGATCGGGTTGTGTGTTCTGCCTTGTAACACAGATCGGGTTGTGTGTTCTGCCTTGTAACACTCAGATCGGGTTGGGTGTTCTGCCTTGTAACACTCAGATCGGGTTGGGTGTTCTGCCTTGTAACACTCAGATCGGGTTGTTTGTTCTGCCTTGTAACACTCAGATCGGGTTGTGTGTTCTGCCTTGTAACACTCACATCGGGTTGTGTGTTCTGCCTTGTAACACTCTGATCGGGTTGTGTGTTCTGCCTTGTAACACTCACATCGGGTTTTGTGTTCTGCCTTGTAACACAGATCGGGTTGTGTGTTCTGCCTTGTAACACAGATCGGGCTGTGTGTTCTGCCTTGTAACACAGATCGGGCTGTGTGTTCTGCCTTGTAACACTCAGATCGGGTTGTGTGTTCTGCCTTGTAACACTCTGATCGGGTTGTGTGTTCTGCCTTGTAACACTCACATCGGGTTTTGTGTTCTGCCTTGTAACAAAGATCGGGTTGTGTGTTCTGCCTTGTAACACAGATCGGGCTGTGTGTTCTGCCTTGTAACACAGATCGGGCTGTGTGTTCTGCCTTGTAACACTCAGATCGGGTTGTGTGTTCTGCCTTGTAACACTCTGATCGGGTTGTGTGTTCTGCCTTGTAACACAAACATCGGGTTTTGTGTTCTGCCTTGTAACACTCACATCGGGTTTTGTGCTCTGCCTTGTAACACTCAGATCGGGTTGTGTGTTCTGCCTTGTAACACTCAGATCGGGTTGTGTGTTCTGCCTTGTAACACTCAGATCGGGTTTTGTGTT